AAACCTAAAAGAATGTATGTAGCAAAACTTTAAATTGTCAGAGTTGCAAAGATTTCTCATGTTGATGTTTGTATTGAAAAATAAAGAAGGTGAGTAGAGTTTCAATCAAAGTATTGTTACTAGCATAATTATTACTTGGACTATACAGTGATAAAAAACAATTAAAGTTTTATTGTGGAATTATAAAAAGAAAACTGGACAGGAAAGAAATGAATCAATTACCTAATCCACTAGCTAATAAGAAATGCATGGAATTAATCACTATACAAACAGAATTAGAGTAATTATATTTGTCGAAAAGAATAATAATAATTCAAACTACGGTTTATTTTCTGCTTCCATGTAGAATAAGACTAACTTATACACAATGTACTTATTAAAAGTGAATATACCGCTTTCTGCGAAGACAACGAAATGAACTTTAGTAAAAATATGTGAAGTACTATCAGTTTGTTTAGACCCTCATCACTTGTGACTTTAATGAATGCGTTAACCAACTTGTGTTCTTCGTTTTAACCAGTAACAATCATCAAGAAAAGAAAATCTGTTTAGCACTCAGTAAACAATTAAGCAATGAAACTTTTGACATTTGGTATCTGGAAAAATGAAATTTTAACTCAGAATATCTATGGTATTTAAAATATTACTTCATTGATTTGAAACTAAAGTAAAGCAAGTTAATTGGTGGATGGTGATTAGCAGTGGAATCCAGGATGCACATTTCGTCCTAGTTGGGAGCGAGTGTGCCTGCATTCCTCAGTGAGTTATGGTGTTCCCACGAGGTTCGAACCCAGTGCCCATAGTTTCAAACTCCAAAGCGTTATCCACTAGACCACTCGGGCCAAGAGAGCCACCTCTTTTGCACCGGGTCATGTTAATTTAATTTTAGATTTTCCCGTCGATTGATTGGACTGATGTGCTCGGTCTCAGGTTGATATGTTGGCTTCTTGTGCAGATGGTTCGATGATGTCAGGGCATTTAATTAGAATTTAATTTGTGGACGGTGGCTAGCAGTGGAATCCAGGATAACGCACACTTCGTCCTATTCGGGACTCGTCATCTGGATGTACCTGCATTCCGCAGTGAGCGATAGTTTTCCCACCGAAGCTCAAATAAGACTGAATGAGCATCCTGGATTTCACTGTCAGTCACCATCCACCAATTAACTTCTGATTACATGTCCAGATATCGTCGAAGCATCTGAACAAGAAGCCGACATTTCAACCTGAGATCGAGCACTTTGGTCCAATCAATCGACGGGAAAATGTAAAATTCAATAAAATAAAATAAAGCAAGCTTAGTATGTTATTAGTCGCACGAATTGTCATGAATTTCAGTGTAAAAGTAAAGGGCATTTATTCTTTTGATGAAATGGAGATTGTCCTACTTGAGTATTTCACATTACTGAGACATTATTTAATGTTCAAGTGTGGGATATATGTACTGAAATTTTAAAATTTAGATACCTCAAAAGCGAAATGTAGCATCTTTCTTCTGAAATAGATGTGATGAGAAGAAAATCATTTCTAAACCATTATATGTATTTGACATGGCCTAGAATGAAGGGAGAAATACGATAGGAATGTAAAGACAAGTTTGACTGTTTTGTTTTACCAGTATAAAGTTGAGACAGACTGGTGCAGATATGATCTCTAAGCACTAGTCTCATGTCTGGTCCAAAGTCAACATCTATGATCAAAATCTTATCAAAGCAATTAAATCATGTCAGAGAACTGAGAGTGATTCTATTTTAAAATTAAATATGAACTTAAACACTGAATGAATTGTATGTATCTAAGCGAAAAATCAAACAGAATATTGTCAAAATTAAATAGATTATCATATATAGTCAGTCGTGTATCGATTTAACGTAATCTGTTCAAGGTTAGGATTTCTTTGAAAGCATTAGTATTTTTTGTTGAAATTTAGGTAATATGTTACTATTAGTCTCAGGACAATCCAAGTTTAGTATCAAGGTTAAGTAAAGATATTATCAGTTGCGGAACAAAAGTAATTCTGTGTACTAGGTAGAGGAATGTTCGACGCTTCATCTATCATCAGTGCGATGCATACAAAAGAATGGTTAAATTTATAGTGTATGCCGAATGCCATTTGCATAGATGAGAGGGCACTTGTTAGCTTTCTCAACAATTTACATACAAAGAGATCAGTTGCTTTGAGTTCTCCTTTCACTGAACTGTTTTTAGTTGCCATGAGATGAATGACGCTTGAGCACGATGATAGTTTTTTACCTTGGGAAACATGTTTTCACAAAACTGTTCACCAAAATATATTGTTTAGCACTTCCATATGAAGAACAAAGAATTTAGCTGTTACACAATGCAAATATTTTCACAAAGAATACTGCTCAAACAAAAATAATAACAATGAAACTCCACCATTTTTATTGTGCAAGATAAGCAGGTGGGTTAGCTGATTATCGTAAAAATGCATTGTTCAGCATGATAGATATGAAATTCCTCCATTTCTTTAAACGTCGGGCGAATACCGTTACTGATATCATTACACTTAACATCCGCTAATTAGGCAAACTAATAATAAACTACGTGGTCCCCTTAAGTCAACTAACTGTGCATGGTGCAGCATAAGATATAGTAGCACACATTATTATTATCTCCACGGGTTCCGAGTGGAACATAGGGCTTCAACAACACATACACACCCTGTCCTATTCTCTGTTGTCCCCTTCAACTACCCCCAAGATTCCCCATAGTCAACACGATCTTCTCCAAGTCACAATCACACCGATGACCCACTCGTCGTTTCCTATTCACGTTCCACTCGAGGCAGGGCCGGCATTGTTCACCGTGTCATTCAACAGTCCCCTCAGCGTGTATTCTACCCATCTCCCCTTTCCTAGGTATAATTGTTGAGCAATATGATCTTGTCTGGTTTGTTGCCAGAGTTTCTTGTTTCTGATTCTTTCTGGTTGGCTGGCCATTTGATCTTGAGTATGGAGGTAGCGAAGGCAGATTTTGATAAATATTTGCATTTGGTTGTCGGAAATGCTTTCATGACATGATGTACAAGTTTCTCACTCATGTAGAAGTAATAACTGACTTAACATGTTGAAGATCCCAGTCTTGTTCTTTATGCTGCAGAGTACATAAGACTTCCAAATTGACTTCAGAGTGATGAAGGTCTGCCTTTCCTTTCTGATTCTGGTTTTGACATCCTCATCCGTGCCTGAGTTGGAACGATGCTTCTTAGATAAATGAAGAGAGTAACCTCTTTCAAATTCCCTCCATAGGTAGTGATTGGTTCTGACTGTTGTGGTTGGCTGATTATCTTCATCACCTCCGTCTTGTCTGTGTTCACTAGAAGTTCTGTGTTTGCTTGCAGCCTCTTCTGCCAGTTGGCTGGTTTTCGTCTGTAGGTTTTCGAGTTTGTGTGGCATAAGGATATAAAATATCAGCGAAATCCAGATCTTCTGCATAATCCAGTTCACCACAATTAGAAATGTCATTGGTAGTAAAAGCCAGTTTGTATTTTTTCAAACGCCTCGCATCGTTTTCTGTTGTAGATCACCTGATACGCAGCATTTTCATTTACTTGTTGAATGAGGTTGATAAAGATTTGGGTGACTCTGTAGTGTTGAAAAAGTTTCTAAACTGATTCACAATCAACGCTGTCGAAGGCCCTTTCAAGGTCAGTGACCCTTAGGTAGAGTTTCGACTGTCATTCTACACTTTGTTCGATGATAATGCGTAGAGCTGGGATTTGACTACTACTAAATCAGTTTTTCCTGAATTCAGCTTGTTTTCGATGGAGTTCTGCATCCAATGCATCTTATATTCTCTCCTGGATGACGCGACTTGGTATTTAGCCCGGAGTGGACAAAACATGATTCCACGCCAATACTTGCAGGGGCCTGATTAGCCCTTCTTTGGTAGTCTGACTAAGTAACTGGTAGCACATAAACATATTTTACTCTTCTTTGTAAAAATTAGTCAAAGTGTTAGGCGTCGGTATATTATTCTTACTGAAAATCCGCATTTGTATACGCTAGTTTTACAACAGCTGTCTCAACCTCTATTCACTTGTTAATTGGATTTACTCAGGCATAGGGGATTCTATGAGAATACCTTAGTACTATGCAGAATAGCTTATGTGCTTAACATATATCAGAAAAAGCACTGAAGTCTACACAGCCGTATTTATGCACAGCTAAGTGTTGACTGCAATTTGTCAACTAGGTGCTTAGTCTCTTTGTTAAAGTGCGTTGCACTGAATTGCTGCGTATGCCTTACATTTTCATTGTCAGTCAGCAACAAATCCAACTTAACACTAAATTCATTCCTTTTATTATTCAAACACAAGACATACAACTAGGACTGAAGAGACACATGTTAGGAGTGATTGGGGATTTCCCAAATTTCCGCAAGATTAAGAATTCTGCAAACTTGAATGTTGGACAGTCTGAAGAGTATCAACGAGCACAAAGAATATATCAACCGAAACTTTATATTGATTGAATTCCAGCAGCAAATGAATTTTATTTCGTTCGTTGTTAAACGTGCAAATCTTTCATTAAACTTTTATCAGAATCTTCGTCATCACTTTGAATTTAATAGGTTAAAATTGATTTTGGTATTCTGTTTTTGAATAAATTAATTTTATGATGCTCAATTTGTTTGGTTCAGTGTCCCAGTACAGTAGCCAGAGATATGTTGTAATAAAGCGCATATATATACATATATACATCCGCATATAATCATATAAAAACCTATTTGTGTCACAGAACAGCAACGTACGAAAAACATTTTTCACCGTATACGATATATATATAACATGACCTGTTTTCTAATTGGTCAAAGATCAAACCGAAATTGAGGAGATAAAATTAAGATGATAATAAAAATAACAATAATAAAAAAAGACACTGTATCAATAGTTCCGTATTTATTCTCATTATTCACTGCCGTGTCAACTGGATACAGTATAAATAACCATGAAAATGATAATCATCGGCAACGGCAGCGATAGCAATAAGAATTTACAATTACCTTTATTTAATTAAACAAGTGAGAATTTAAAAATGATTTTAATTGAACATTCAACAAATAATAATGATAATGTGATAGTATTTTGAGTTATTTTTATTTTTTTGATGAATATTCCGAGTATTCCCTTTTTCCTTCAACTGATTCAACAAGGAGATATCCCTCGATTAGTCAACTTAAGTCGTGTGTTTCACATATTTCTGTATACACTTAAAACAACCATCATCAATAAATAAAGTAATAACTAGAGAGTTAACCAGATATCCAGTCAGATTAAATAGATATGTCAGGCTAATGTAAGTTTCTTTTCTTTCTGTTTACTTGCTTGTTGATTATGTTAACTAAAATTGCTTGTTTAATGTTATCACTAGTTATACTGCTAACCCCATCAATTTTGTTTGTGAAAGCGTAGTGCATCATCACACAGTGTTTAGTATTCCGATTGCAGCCCGTTTTGTTAGCCTTTTAAGTGTTTCTGAATTCCGTCAAGAAAAGTATTAGAGATTATGGCAAGCAATAACACCTTTTTAGTGAGTTAAAAGCAAAATTTTGAATATTCCAAATACAAATCAGCGGATAACGCCATATGAAGTTTTCTTTGTTATCCAAAATAATTGAAGGCAATTTGTGTTAATTTTTCCTAGTAAGTGTCTGTTTTCATCTAAGAATAAGTGTCACAATACTCAGATTCGTCACAGTTTGAAGTAGTCAGTGGACATATTCTACTGAAATAAACTAATGATGTGAACAGAAAGTTGTTAGACAATTGCAAAAAGATTAGAATTTCTGTAGTGGATCCAGTATAAAAAATTTATGTTTATTTCTATAATCTTATACTATTCAGTATAAAGCCGGAAATTATTGTTGCAAATGAAATTCAAAGTTCCAGTGTGCGTTGGTGGCACAGCGGTCAGGACGTTAGCCAACCATGCACATGGCCTGGGGTTCGACACCCGGCCAATGCACACCTGATATCAATGACCGGCCTTATAAATTTTTGGGCTATCGATATCACAAGCTGAAAATTCCAAACTTGTACCAAAAATGCGGTGTGCAATCAGGCTATAATAAAAATTAGGAAAAATAAAATAAACCAGACCGTGTCATGGAAGCAACACTTCAAGGACAACACTCCACCATATGAGGCTTCTTGGTACTTACGATACCCTTTTCAAAGTTCCACTGGCAAATACTGAAACTATAAGCCAACCATTTGTCAAAAATTATAGGCAATTCAGAATTCAGACAGATGATAAGAACCTTAACTGTAAAACGAGGTGGAAATCTAGTTTAAAATTCAGCAGCGGAAATGAAATACTAATTGCATAGATCATGCTAGGAGTACAATAGTTTTCAATATTTCGGTGTAAAAAACACAAGACAGCTGATAGAGATAGCAGTGAAACTGGGGAGAACATGTACGTCAGATCATCACTGAGTTGATTAGCGGCTAATCTTGAGTTGTTTCTTACTCGAGCCCTTTGAAAGATCCAATTGAATTTAGAAGTTTGCATACAAAGAAGTTACATTTAGTGTTAGTGAGGAAGTATCCTGTGTAGGTGCATTGCACAGTGACGACCTTCTCCAAATACAAAAACTTAGCTCCAGTTATTTGTTCTGTATTAAATATAAACTCGACAATATTGCATTTGCATTAGCTAGCCAAATGTAATCTCAAGGAAGTATGCACTGTTAATTGCAAAAAGGATAATTTGATTGTATGAGGTTGATTTCCTGTATGAAAGGGTCAAATACTGTTGCATAACTTAGTTAAGTTAGGTTATATACCGCAGAGTAAATTATTCATATTGTCAAACTATTTTTAACGTCAGTGTAATGTCAGTCAAAATTGCATCCTTCTTAGTAAACTTATAAAAATTTTCAATAGACAACAAAGGAGGTGATAATACTTTAACGGTTAATTCTACAAACAAGAAAACTCACTTTTTCAAGAACAGAATTACTGAGGTGAAAGAAATCATTCATAAAAGAAAAGCTGATTTTGATTCTCAATACAAGAAAGTAGAGTTTGATTAACCTGGCTACTAGAATGACTATGTCCTTTGCGTTTAACACTTTAGTTCCCTATTTTTACTGCAAAAGTTCTTGAACAAAGGGACTATCTTTATTCACAGAGTGGTGAATATTTGTAAATAAAGGTGATCTGTATTTTCGGACTGTGGTTCTTCTAGAGAAGCGAATCTCTCATCATGAAATGTAGTACAAATACAATAGAAAGTAATAAGTCACTTACTTTACACACTTTAGACCAAGTAGTTATCTTTTGTCTATCGGTAATAAATATTAGTAAGTAAAATTTAAAACATAACGATCCTAGGATTTCCTATACGCTAAGAAAAACTGTTAAATTATAACCAACAAAACACAACAGTAATAATAACTAGAATACTGTACTAGATGCATAAACAAGAGTGGATTTTCTAGGTTGGCGAATGTCCAGTCTTCCACTTATGCACGTTGTCTTCCATTTTATACATAAAACAATTTTATCATGATTTATTCTGGTAACTAAAATAAATCAGATCATGAAATAAAAACTTTTTACTGTTTGGAATTATTGTTTACATTGCCTACACACTAAAACAAATTAAATGATTTTAAAATATGAATTGAGGAACACATTTGTGACGTGCTATTAAAACACAGACGATGAGGTGTGTATTTCACTAAGTGAAATAAAGAATTTCAAGTTTAGTTTTGTCAATTCCACAGGTACATTTAACTGATAAATTATTCACAGAAATAACATTTAAGTTGACAATGAACAAATTTAAAACTTTGAAAAATTTAAAATATTTTGAGACATCTATAACCCAAGAGAAAAACTGATGATTCTTCATAATACACAGGCATAACTACAGATGTGACGGCTTCTATATAAAAGGTTGTGTTATTTTTTAATAATCTACCATGAAACTCAGCTAAGTATCTCTGTATTATCTGGTAAGATAACTTTAATGGTTGTAAAAAACAAGTAGTTGTTAGCACTTTATTCAGTCTACATTAAACATTTTCGAATCTTTATTAATACCAACCGCTTTTGTTTCGATGAAATAACTGTTAGATAACCAGGTATTAGGTCTTTGTTTCATTTCCTCTGCTTCCCATCCATCCTCAATCAAATAATCGTTTCTTACTTATAGATAGAAAAGTTCAGCCAAGTCGTGATGAATATCGAATTTCAGTATGCAGGAATCACTGTGTGTTTTCTTATCATTGAACTGTAATTCAATTGCAGTTAGCAAGAGGATTACAGGATAAAAAATCTGATACTCTTATCTGCTAATAGAAATTAATTGACGTTACTTTGTTGACACATCACATAATAATGTATTTGATGACGATGTTTTGAAAACATGTAAGGAGAAATGTAGTTAATCACCTCGACGAAAATAACTCAAATCCCTGGAATCCAATAGGTTTTCGTGTTCACTTTACTCTATAGCATCTCGCAGATAAGTGCTTTGGATTATTTGGAAATTAAATTTCAAAATTCACAGCGTACAATAAGTGACAGCCACTGTAATATTGTTGATGTGGTTGTTTTTCATTCTCTTTTCAGATAAATTAGATCTGTTACCTTATTTATATTAGTGAAGATATTAATATGTTGTTCGTATTATACTAAAAAATACCTTTACGGTTCGATATTCGTAGTTATCTCTAGTTAGATTTATTTAAATGTCTATATAGTCAGGCCAGGTGCCTAGAGAGTAGGCCAGAAGATTTATATAATAAAATAAAACAAATAAAGAAAATATTACTAGTGAATACTATCCACCAGAATGTATTCAAAATGAAGACACATTGAAAAACTAAAAAACGTAATGGAAATGATGAAAATAACACAGATAATATGGAGTTCAGACCCCCTGTGGTATATTATTATTTATTATTGTTACCTTAGGTTCCAAGTGGAACATAGGGCTTCAACAACACATACACACCTTGTCCTATTCTCTGTTGTCCCCTTCAACTACCACCAAGATTGACCATAGTCAACACGATCTTCTCCATGTCACAGTCGCACTGACGACCCACTCGTTGTTTCCCATTCGCGTTCCACTCGAGGCGCCTTGTCATTCAAGAGTCCCCTCAGCGTGTATTCTACCCATCTCCCCTTTCCTAGGTATAATCGTTGAGCGATATGCTCTTGTCTGGTTTTTTCCAGAGTTTCTTGTTTCTGATTCTTTCTGGTTGGTTGGCCATTTGATCTTGAGTATGGAGGTAGCGAAGGCAGATGTTGATAAATATTTGCATTTGGTTGTCGGAAATGCTTTCATGACATGATGTACAACTTTCTCATCCATACTTATATATTTCCCTATAGTACTGCTGTATCAAGAAGGAACATTAGAGGGCCTACACAGGATTAATAATGAGGCTGGAATTAGGATGGCATTTAAATCAGGTAGCTCTCTCAGTCATAAAATATGTTGGCCTAAGGATCAGATAGACCCAATTAAGAAAAATAGTTTATGAAATACTGAGTAACGACTGTAAAGTCAGTTAGTACGTCAAACTAGTATAATGGGGTTAGTTAAATTATCAGAACATAGGAGTTTAGTTAAACCTACAATGACTGCCCCTACTAAGTTAAATGACCTAGGAAAAAGCTCAGACACTTCACTGCATTCACTTTAATGTAATCACACAATAGGTGGGGACAGAGTGAAAGCATTATAAAGTTTTGTGTTTAGGCGGAGAGAGGTTAGTCACTGAATCTTTGTTTATCAGATCAACACCAAATATCTGCAATCAAAATGATATAACGCCTATACCGGAGATACGGACAACTGCATCAAACAACAACAGGGAGAGAAGAAAAGTTAAAACACATCATGAAGCCGTGTGAATACATTGATACGATTATTAGAAATAAATTGTGGTTGAAACGTCATCCAGTTATTAGTATCACTGCGTTATATCAAATGAACTTACTAAATATGCAATTTCTAGCTTGCTGATTAATAAATCAGTTTGCTTGAAATATTAGTCGT